CACGGAAATCCACCTGCCTCTGCCTCCCGAGTGCTGGGATTAAAGGCATGTGCCACCAATGCCCGACTTAAAGTAATAAACTTTTATTTAAAAAAGTAAACTGAAGTCATCCACTCAATACTGTCATCTCTTCCTCAAACTCACTGCACCTGCTAGTAGAGTCAGTCAACTGAAGACGTCCTTCCCTTCCAGCTGAACTCAGCTGTGGCTCAGACTACAGAGTCAACTGTAGCCCACAGACTACTGGAAATGGGCATTCACAGTGTCACTTGTGGAAACTGCACAACCCTTTCTCTTGTGATACACTTCTTTACATCCAACCAGTGGAAACTAAGTCTCTAATGGGTATATTATTTAGTTATGTTGTTGGAATTGCTTCCAAGCTTAAGTTTTATCTCTCACCCCTTTCTATTTTGTCTTGCTATGTCGTTGTGACTGGTCTGTAATGTACCATGCAGACAAAGCTGGCTCTAATTCAGAAATCTGCCTGCTTCTGCCTCCAGAGCACTGTGATCAAAGTTATATACCACTATTCTCAGCTTCTCACCTCTTAAATAAATCTAATTTTATTATTATTATTATTGTGTGTCTCTCTCTCTCTGTGTCTCTTTCTGTGTGTGTGCGCACGCACGTGTGTGTGTGTGTTTCTCTCTGTGTGTGGGAGTGTGTGTGTGTGTGTGTGTGTGTGTGTGTGTATTGGGGGGAGTGCATGTAAAGTCAGAGTACAACTGTCAGGAATTGGTTCCTTTCTAGGTTCTCAGGATTGAGTTCAAGTTCTCAGGCTTTCGAGGCAAGGCCTTTACCCTCTGAGCCATGTTGTCTGTAGCACGAATAATGAAAACCCACAGACAGAGCTGGAGAGATGGCTCAGTGGTTAAGAGCACTGACTGCTCTTCCAGAGGACCCGGGTTCAAGTCCCAGCATCCACATGGCAGCTCATACCTTTCTGTTAATTCCAGTTCCAGAGGATGTGATACACATAAAATAAAATTAAATAAGTAAATACAAAAAGAAAACCCAGAGACAGATATTGGGGTTAAAGCTGAAGGTCAAAGAAGCAAGGCGGTCGCCACTAGAGAGTTCTCACCTCTACCAATGCTCAGACTGAAGGGGTGATCATGTCCTCTGATTGCATCTTCAAATTGCACTGCTCCTCAAACTTAGACTGCAATGCCAAAAACTGAATACTGAATACCCAGGTGAGACCCCGAGCTTGTCTTACATACTTCTCTAGTGCTGGGATTAAAGGCATACACCACCACCACTCAGTCTCTGTGGCTAACTAGTGTGCCTGCTGGGATTAAAAGTGTGTACCTCCGGCCGGGCGGTGGTGGTGCACGCCTTTAGTCCCAGCACTCGGGAGGCAGAGGCAGGCGGATCTCTGTGAGTTCGAGGCCGGGCTGGACCGATAGCCTCCGAAACAATACAGAGAAACCCTGTCTCGTAAAAACAAAAAAACAAAACAAAACAAAAAAAAAGTGTGTACCTCCGGCCGGGCGGTGGTGGCGCACGCCTTTAATCCCAGCACTCGGGAGGCAGAGGCAGGCGGATCTCTGTGAGTTCGAGGCCAGCCTGGTCTACAGAGTGAGTTCCAGGACAGCCTCCAAAGCCACAGAGAAACCCTGTCTCGAAAAACCAAAAAAAAAAAAAAAAAAAAAAAAAAGTGTGTACCTCCATTGCCTCTGTGGCTAACTAGTGTGGCTGCTGGGATTAAAGGTGTGTAATGTGGCTAGCTTTGCATCTGATCTTCAGGCAAGTTTTATTAGATCACAGGCAAAATATTACCACAGTTGTCAGCAGTCGCCTGTGTCTCAGCTCCTGTCTCAGCTCCTGTACCATTGCAATTACACTGCTTCCACACAATCCCTCAGGAATTTAAGATATTCCAAAATGTTTTCAACTCACCAGAATTCGAAGGTCAGCTTGAATTTAAGACATCAGGGTATCCTGATGAGCCTGTTTGTAGCCTACCACATAGCCATAAAATAACACTATGAATTAAAATGACAGCTACTGTCAGTTTGACCAAGAGAAGGGCAAAAGAAGATGGACAGACTTTGTAGGAAGAAGAATATCTTGTCCAGTGAGTAGTGACGTGTCAGGTTGGCTCAGGAGAAAGGCTTTTGCCACCAAGCCTGGTGACTCGAGTTTGATCCCTAAGGCTCACTCAGTGGAAAGTGATAACTAATCCCACAAGTTATTCTATAGAAGATCAGCCCTGGAAGGGAGGCGGGAATGGGGGTCAAAGTAAATAGTGCCCACCGTGCTTTACTGCGCATTCTGAACTGGGCCAAGACAGCACACGCTTTCCCAAGAGTGAATTACAAATGTAGACAGATCAGCACAGTTGAAGATGGCGCCTACTTGAGCCCACTTCCTTTCCCTACCACCTTATAGAGATTGGATGAGAAAGACCCAACTTTCCAGTCTTTGAGAAGCACCTTCTTCTTTACAGGATAAGCTTCCTAGGATAACACTTTGTTTTTCTCTTTAAGACAGGGATTTATGGGAACTGGAGAGATGGCTCAGCAGTTAAGAGCACTAGCTGCGCTTCCAGAGGTCCCAAGTTCAATTCCCAGCAACCACATGGTGGCTCACAACCATTTGTAGTGAGATCTGGTGCCCTCTTCTGGCCTGCAGTTATATATGCAGGCAGAATACTGTATACATAATAAATAAATCTTAAAAAAAAAAGACAGGGATTTACTATGTAAACCTGGTTGACCTAGCACTTGCTATGTGGACCAGGTGGGCCTCTGCCTCCAAGTGCTGGGATTAAAGGCCATGTGCCACCATGCCCAGCTGATTCTGTGAGGTTGTTTTTTAATTTATAGCTATGGTTTTTTTTTTTTTTTTGTCTGCATGTCTGTATAACACATTCAAGCCTGGTCCTGGAAGAGGCCAGAAGAGGGCGTCAGTTCCTCTGGAACTGGAGTTATACAGTTGTGAGCTCCCTCCATATGGCTGCTGTGATTTGAGCGTGGGTCCTCTATAACAGCAGCAAGCACTCTTAACTGCTACACCATCTTTCCAACCCAATTCTGTTTTCAAATGATAATTTTGTAGGACTTGGCAAAGTCAGTTGCACTCATAGGAACTGCAGGGATTTTCCTGTTGATTTGCTGGGTGTTACAGCCAGACTGGCACATGCTACACAGATGCCCTACCAAGAACCTGCATATCCAGCCTGGAATTGCAGGCTGTTTTAACAGGGCTCCAGGCCTTACTTAGCAGGAACCCAGACCTTAGCACAACTGACTCCATGGTGGAACTACCATTCAGACTGTAAAATCAACATGTAGACAGCACTACCTGCCAAAACTAAAACAAAGACCTAATCCATCAAAGTCCATAGTTATGGGAAAGTCTCTAAACATACTAACCTTGCTTTTTGGCTTCTGTGGTTCTGCTTCTGGCTGGTTTTTTTGTTTTTATTTTGTGTAATTTACTATATGTGTGTTGGTGTTTTGCCTGCATATATGTGTGAGGGTGTTGGATTACCTGGAACTGGAGTTATAGACAGCTATGAGCTGCCATGTGGTTGCTGGAAATTGAACCTGGGTCCTTTGGAAGAGCAGCCAGTGCTCTTAACTACTGAGCCATCTTTCCAGCCCCCTGACTGTTTTTTTTTTTTTTTAATGTATGCATATAGTGTTCTATGTTTGGACACCAGAAGAGGGCACCAGATCTCATTACGGATGGTTGTGAGGCCACCATGTGGTTGCTGGGAATTGAACTTAGGTCCTCTGCAAGAGCAGGCAGTGCTCTTAACCTCTGAGCCATCTCTCCAGCCCCCCTCCCCCCACTGTTCTTTACTGAAGTATGTCAATCCAGGATATAGTTTTTGTATTTAAAAGCTCACCCTGAAGAAGTCCCAGTGCTGCACTGGGATCCTGAACACTGCAAGCTATCTAATGAAGACTTTCTATTGGCTTAAACCCATGTCTATGCAGTCTTCACTATACCCCACAAGAGATGCTATATTCACAGCAGCAACCATTGGTTACCTCTATCCTCCTAAAGCAAAGTGCAGTTGAACTGCAAGTATTACTTGAGGACAGGAGAGAAGAGGTGGCACTGTTTTATAGAGCATCTTAAGGGATGGGCCAGCTGGCTGACAGACCTCAAGCTGACCACCCCTGCTCAGGACTCAGCTCCCATCCGCTTTTCACAAATTATGTATTCTGCCAAAGACGGACAGGACCCAGCTTCACTGCTTCAATGACTTTATTTTGGTCACTGGGTCAACAACATTTGGCAGTTCTAGAAAGAGGAAACGAGTTAAGTTTGGGGCCAGCTTGGTCTATACAGTTCAAAACAAACAAAAATAGGAATGTGGCCAGGTTTCTTTCTTTCACTTTTTTTTTTAAAAATCAGAAATAAGTTCAAATAAGATGCTTTAAAAAATGGAAGTGGCAAGTGTTTTTTTTGTTTGTTTGTTTTTTGTTTTTTGAGACAGGGTTTCTCTGTAGCTTTGGGTTTCTCTGTAGCTTTGGAGGCTGTCCTGAACTCACTTTGTAGACCAGGCTGGCCTCGAACTCACAGAGATCCGCCTGCCTCTGCCTCCCGAGTGCTGGGATTAAAGGCGTGCGCCACCAACGCCCGGCTGTGGCAAGTGTTTCTTAATGATAAAAATACCCAGTGTTAGTAAGGGAACAGAAAACCGAGTGCTCGTTTACATTGCGGAAGGGAGAGTAGATTGACAGGCTGCTTCAAAGAATGTGTCCATTTGGTGAAGCTCTGACAAGCCCACCCTGCAACTGCACTTCTTCTAGTGCAAGCGGAGGAAATAAGATGGGGAATACAGTTAATACCCTGCGTGCTGTGTCAGGGTTTCGAGCAACTGCAGGCAACACAACTGGATTACTGAAGTTATATAGCCCAGCAATACAACGGAGCGTTGGTATTGTTCACGGCTGGGTGTCTACTGACAAGGAAGATGTTCCTGTTTTGTTAAATGAAGAATATCAAGATAAAAATGAGTACAATATGACCTCATATTTGTTTAGAAAACTACATGTTTGCACATAGAAAGACATCGAGGATATACACATTACCACTGGCAAGCTCTGCCCAATGGAAGTGTGAGTAAATTAGAACTTTATACTGTTTTTTTACACTGGTATACAATAAACATATTGTTTCTGTGGTTTAAAAATGGGGCATGAGTTAAAAGCCTAGTTCAGTTTAGGTCTCTGACTTGTGAAGTGAGGGACCATGTGTCCCTAGACACATCTGCTTGTTTTGTTCCTTCTGACCCGAGCTGGTCAGTCTCAACTGTTTTCCTGCAAACACCATATTCGGGTGTGCTTGCTTGTTTGGAAACATGGCCTCTCATTTGCTGTTAGAGCATCTTCAGACTTCGAGTATTGAAGAAAGTCACTTGAGTGGGTGAGTGCTGGCAAAACTGTGCCCAGGGCCTGTACTTGCAGAGGGAGCCCTTACAACACTTCAGTGAGGAAAGAGTACCCAGGAGACAGATGCAGAGGGAGTTTCTCTGTGTAGCCCGGGACATCCTGGAACTCACTCTGTAGGCCAGCCAGGTTGGCCTTGAACTCACAGAGATCCGCCTGCCTCTGCCTCCCTAGTGCTGGGATTAAAGGCATATGCTACCACTGCCCGGCAGGAATTTCTGCTTTTTAAATTATAAAATTTTTATTTACTTATTTTTATGTGTGTGCCTGCTTGTCTATATGTACATCACACATGTGTAAGCAATTGTAGAGCCCCTTGCCCTGGACTTACAGGCACTGAACGCAGGTCCTTTGAAAGAGCAGCAAACACTCTTAACTGCTGAGCCATCCTTCCATCTTCTATTTGTTGTTTTTTGTTTGTTTGAGACAAGCTCTCGTGTGGTACAGAGCGGCCTTGAATTCGATGTGTAACTGAGGCTGACTTTGACCTGCCGTGGCCTCCCAAGTTGCTGGTATTGTAAGGATAACAAGGTCTCTACTTAGTCCATATTTCAATTTTAGGCCTCCCGTGGAAGGGATGATGGCGAAGTATTTGCACTGTTTTATTCAGAGTCCTTTTAAGCTACTGAGTCACTTCAGAAGAGAAATGACAAAATAACTGGAAATCACGTTGAAGGTTTAAGTTGGCTAATAAGAAAAGATGATCCCAACCCTGTAACAATGGAGATCTTGGTAGAAAGCGTTTGCTTCCTGGGTTGGCATAAACAGTCCAAGGAACCAACATCCCGAGGACCTTACAACCTATATTTAATGAATGATGACAGCACCTATTAAGGAAATCTTTCCAATAAACCCAGATGTGATTTGGCTAAGCTATCCTCTGTAAATCCTATACCCTCCACTCTGATTCCAAGACAGCCTGGTAGACAGTTAGGGCTGAGTTTCCCTTGGGGTTAACAATGCAGACTGCAGCCGGGCGTTGGTGGCACACGCCTTTAATCCCAGCACTCGGGAGGCAGAGGCAGGCGAATCTCTGTGAGTTCGAGACCAGCCTGGACTACCAAGCGAGTTCCAGGACAGCCTCCAAAGCCACAGAGAAACCCTGTCTCGAAAAACCAAAAAAAAAAAAAAAAAAAAAAAAAGCAGACTGCAGCAGGGAGGCACTAATAAAAAGAGAAACCTAATCAAGATTTTCAGGAAGAAGGGCCACGTTCATCTTCACTACAAAATGTCACTATCAACCTGGAACCAAGTGTCTCAAACACAGTATTGAAAATGTGTCTAAAGTGATGTATTTCTAACTAGTGGTTTAAATACTGACATCTGCAAATGTTTTACTTTTAAAAAGAACACACTGCTGTAGAAAAGTAGGTCACATGCCATGAAGCCACTTGCAAATACTTGTATGCTTTATGTTTTTTGAAACATCTCACATAGCCCAGGCTGGCTTGGAATTCATTATATAGCTGAGGCTGGCCTTGAACTCCTTATCTTCCTGCTTCCACCTCCCAAGAGGTAGGACTGCAGGTGTGCACCTATTACACCTGGCTTCTTGAATGAGAAAAAGGTGGAGTTTCAACTTATTAGCAAGTGAGCCTGTTTTTCCTGTCACCAGAGCTAAAAAGTTGACTGCTGCTCTTGTCGAGCAGGGAGTGGGCCCTGGCAGGTGTCCAGGTGGAGTGCCAAGGGCCAGACTACACTTGTAGAGTACTTCCATGTTCTTCTATGTTCCAAAGTGGGGAGGTGGGGTTAGGACAGCTGTGATGCGGAGAGGACTAAGTAAGTGGGAGGCATGCACTGAGGCCTGAAGGAAGCAGGACGGCCCCTGCAAGTTCAAGGGCAAACATCGGTGTTTACCATCTGTATTAGTACCGAGAAGACCGCCGGCACAGCAGTCACAACAGGTTCACTGTCGGGAGAGCTGTATAGTTTTACAGCAGAGTCCCCTCAGTTACTCGTGGGAAACTCTTTCCAAGGCCACATAGAAACTGTTCTTGTCGTCTAGGCAATGCCAGCCAATGGGTCCAATCTCACAGTCTGCACAGACCAGAAACTTGATGTTGCCCACGTCCTTGGTGAAGCCCACATTCTCAAAGATGAACATGTCATTAACCAGCCAGTGTTCCTGGAGGAGATCGCCGTCAGGATTGCTGCCATCAGCCAGCGCTGGCTTCTTCCTCATGGAGGGGAGGAAAAGCTGCAGTGGGAGAGAACATAAGGAATGGAAAAGCTGAACATCTTCACTCCTGTTCTACTTACACTCAACCCTGATGCCTGGCAGCTTTCTGGAATGTGAGAAAGTAAAAAAAGATGGCAGCCATCACATTGGGTCACACACTAGGATGCTGGTGGCTCTTCTGGTTGGTACCTGCCTTGATTATCATTATTACTACTGTTAGGATTATTTTGAGACATGGTCTTCTATGCCTTCAGGGGTCTTTAATTGACACATGCCTGCCTGCTTCTGCCTCCTGGGTTAAAGGCACTAGTCAACAGCTTCTTTCAGAACTTTCCCTTTGCCTGCCCCTTCCTTCCCTTCCTGTGATGCTTTCCCAATTGCTCGCCAAAGCATCTATGAGGGCCTCTTCACTGGTTAGGCGCTCTGACACCCTCCCTCCCCTCACCTTCACGCGGAGGAAACAGAATGGCTCCAATGGCCCAGAACTTCACATTCTGGTCTTTAACTCTCAGAGTGTTTGGGCTTGTACGAATCTGGCCCTGTGAAGGCATCACTGTGAGGTCAGTCAGTGCACTCCTCTTCCTCTATGATCACCAAGCTCAGCACCAAGTTCTGAGGCGAAAGGGAACCAGGGGGTTTGCCCTGAGTCTTAAGAGCTATGGGAGGAAAGAGAAGGGGGGAGGGGAGGGGCACTGGAGCAGCTGGCTTCTCTGCTTCGTGGTCCATGGAGTCCAAGGCGATGCCTGAGCTAGATTCCCACTAACTTCAATGTGCATCAGCCACACTGGCTGCCTTGCTTCCTCAACAAGCAAAAAGATGGTTGTGTCTGAAGACTCGGCATGGACGGCCCCTTGTTGGTATTCATTGCAAACACAGTCCTACAAAGTCTCTGTCCACAGTTTGAATGAATCTCATACTGCCTAGTATGTTTTTTTTTAAAAATATTGTTTTGGTTTTTTTCAAGAAAAGGTTTCTCTATGTAGCCCTGGCTGTCCTGGAACTCACTTTATAGAACAGGCTGACCTCGAACTCATTGAGATCCTCTGGCCACTACCTCCTGAGTGCTGGGATTAAATGTGTGCATCACCACTGCCTGGCTTATTTTATTTTTAAAAGAGAGCTTGAATCACTGATGCATAATATGCACATACTCAAAGTGCACAGTCTGCCACATATGGGCACAACTACATGCTGATGAAAATACCATAATTAAGATATGAACATATTAACAAAAAAAGAAAAACAGCCTACAATCCATAACCCCAGAGAAGCTAGAACCCTCTTCCAGAAACAGAAGCAGATGCAGAAACCCACAACTAACCAATGGGTCAAGCTCCTGGAGTACAATCGAAGGGAGGGAGGAGTGATAATACAAACAAAGGAGTCAGGACGATGATGGGGAAAAAAACCACAGAATAGGCTGACCTGAGCTAGTGAGAGATCACTGACTCCGGTCTGACAAATGGGGAACCTGCATAAGACAGAACTAGACTGACTTCCTTAATATAGGTGACAATGGTGCAACTGGGACAATATATGAGACCACTGGCAGTGGGTCCAAGATCTAACTCTAATGCACAAACTGACTTAGTGGAGCCCATTCTATATGGAGAGATACCTTGCCTAGCCTAGACACGGGGGGGTGGGGGTGGGGGTGGGGGGGTGCCTTGGTCTGGCCTCAATGAGATGATGGGACTGACTTAGTAGACTTCCTAGTGGAGGCCTTACCCTCTCCGAGGAGCAGATGGGAGGGGGGGCAGTGTGGGGAGCCTTTGGTGCCTGTGCACATGACACAAACGACTGTGTTCATTTCCTGTGTGGGGAGTGTGCACGCTTTCTACTGCAAAATGCAATGCCAGCAAAGCTTCCTAATCGTTCTGCTCCTCTGCACGGCTGCTGCCCTGTCACCTGTTTCCCACCCACAATACTTTTATTTTGAGACGGCATCTTGCTATAGCCCTAGCTGGTCACGTCATGATCCTCCTGCCTCACCACTCTCTGAGTACTGGGATTAAAAGGCAAAACATATGCATACATTTCTTTCGTCTTTCTCTTTTGAGACGACGTCTCACTATGTAGCTCTGACTGAACTCACCATGTACATCGGGCTAACCTTAAACGCAGAGGTCTGCCTGCTTTTGCCTCGTGAATGCTGGGGTTAATGGCTCCCACCACACTCAGTTTCTTCTCCTTTATTCTTCCTCCTCCTCCTATTTATTTACATGTATGAGTGTTTTGACTGCAAGGGACCACTTGAAACTGGGGTTGCAGTTTACTGTGAATGAGTATATGGGTGCTGGGAACCAATCCTGAATCCTCTGCAATACCAACAGGTCAAGGGATGTTTATAGTTTCAGTTCATCACCTGTGGACAGAGTGGCAGAGCAGCTCACATCGAAGGGCAGAGAAGGCAGCGTAGGACAGTAACAAGAAGAGGTAGAGCAAGATAGAACTCACACACAAGCCCCCGAAGTGACCATTCCAACCCCTCCTAACAGTCTACACAAATTCCAAATCCATCAGTGGGTTAAACCATCATCAGAGCCCTCATTCACTAATTCTCACAGAACAGAGACTGAGATACTCTTTATTAATCTCCTAAGTGTCTGTGTGTGTGTGTGTGTGTGTGTGTCTCTCTCTCCTCTCTCCTCTCTCCCTCTCTCTCCTCTCTCCTCTCTCTCTCCTCTCTCCCTCCCTCCCTCCCTCCCTCCCTCTCTCTCTGTCTCTCTGTTTTCCGAGATAGGATTTCCCTGTATCGTCCTGGCTGTCTTGGAACTGGGATTAAAGGCTCAGCTCCTAGGTGTCTCTTAATTCAGTCAAGCTGACAAGATTAATCATCACAGCCAGATGTTGTGGGGCTTGTCTTTATTTAATTCCAGCACTTTGGATGCAGAGGTGGGTGGATCTCTGTAAGTTTGAGGCCAGCCTGGTCTAAAGGGCTAGTTCCAGGGCTACATAGTGAGACCCTGTCTCAACAAACCAACAAAAAATTAAAACAAAGGTTTCCGAGAAGCTAAACTTAAAAAAAGAAAAAAAAACATAAATTGCCTCACATAAAATAAAGCTGGCTGCACGTAAATAGGGCACAGCTCATAAACTAAATATCTCACTGTAAAACCAGAGTCAGTTAGAAAAGCAGATTTTTCCTTAACCTCAAAGAGCACCAGAAGCCAGCCAACCCAATCTCTGGGAGACTTTGTGCAGGGGGGAAAAAGATTAATCATCGCACTGGTAATATTAAAACACTATTTTTTTTTTTTTGGTTTTTCGAGACAGGGTTTCTCTGTATTGTTTTGGAGGCTGTCGGTCCAGCCTGGCCTTGAACTCACAGACATCCACCTGCCTCTGCCTCTCTAGTGCTGGGATTAAAGGCGTGCACCACCACCGCCCAGCTTAAAACACTATTTTATATAGCCAAGATCAACGTTCCATGTGTGTGTTAGTGGTAAAATTACAATTTACCACTTAACCACTTTAAAAAGTTTGTATTTTTATCTATGTGTATGTGTGTCAGTAAATACCCCTTTGTATATGCCTGTGGAGATCAGAAGCCCCTGGGTCCCTGGGAGCTTCACTTAGAGGGGTGTGAGCTGCCCAGTGTGGGTGCCGAAACCAGACTCAGGCCTTCTGCAAGGGCAGTAAGTGCTCTTCCATGGAGCCATCTCGCCGCCCCCAATAACGGCTTTTCTGTGTGCAGTCCAGTACACGAGAAAGTTCACATGACTGTGTTGCCACTGCCTACATGTCACCGGGGCCTGCCCATCTTCCCACTGAAGAAGTGTCTCCCTATCCACCCATCCTCCTTATTCTTCCTCCTCTGGCCTTGAGAACAGCAACCACGGTGTACAGACTTCTTCTACAGCCACCACTCTAGGTACTTCGTGTAGTGAGATCAGATTGCATATGTCCTTTTATGACTGGCTCGTTACATGCACTGTCCTGACAAGTGAACATCTAGTTCTAAGAAATAACACAGGGGTTGGGCACAGTGGCATACGCCTTTAGTCGTAGCAGAGGCAGGTGGATAACAGAATTCAAGGCCAGTTAGGGCTACACACTGAGGCCTGGTCTCAAAACCCAATGGCAGCAACAACAACAACCCCCACACACACAACAAACCCCACAAAAGGGCTGGAGAGAGAGCTTAACACACACACACACACACACACACACACACACACACACACACACACACACACACAGCATAATCTTTTAAGACACAACACAGCTTTTTAATCTCAGCAGTTGGGAGGCAGAAGCTGGCAGTTCTCTGTGAGATGAGGCAGCCAGACCTATGAAGACAGTTCCAGGAAAGCCATGGCCACATAGTGAGACCCTGTCTCAAAAGACAAAACGACAACAAATGGAGTAACATAAATCCCTTGAGCCTTTACTCGTCTCCCCAAAGGGCACATCTTGCACAGCTGTGGTACCTCTCACAGCCAGAGTACAAGAACTGATGCAATCTGAAGATCTTACCCAGCTTTCCCTGGCTTCCGGAGATTGGCTGTTGCTTTTCATTTAAGGTCCTGTTGCCCAGGTTGGCTTTGAACTCTGATCCTCTTGCCTCTGCCTCCTGGGCTCCCATCTACTTGTGCTCATTTGCCCGTGCACTTAGTTCTATACCATTTTCCACCATTACAGTAAGGACAGTTTACAGCTCCGTCCCAAGAACTCCTCTGGCCTCTCATAGCCACATTCATCAACACCTTGCCCCTCAATCCCATCTGCTGGCAACTATTAATTCCTTCTTCACTTCTTAAATTTTCTCATTTCAAAAATGTTATACAGGGTCAAGTGTAGTGTCATATGCCTTTAATTCCAGCACTCACGAGGTAGAGGTAGGTGGGTCTCTGAGTTTTGAGACCAGCTTGGTGTACAAAGAGTTGCAGGACAGCCAGGGCTACACAGAGAAACCCTATCTCAAAAGTAAAATTAGATGTCATACAGACCTGGGCACAGTGCTGCTTACCTATAATTCCAGCTACGGATGCTGAGGTGGGAGAATTATGAGTCCC